TGCCTGTCAATCAGTTCCTTTTTGGAAGCTGCTGGTATTTTCACTTACGTTGTGTGATCCAAGGTGCAGAAAAAGACCCATGAATTGATCGCACGTGGTGTCCGCGAGGAGGATATTTCCCAGTCCATAGTGAAGGGCACAGATCCATACAACTTGGGAGGGACCAGCAAGTCAGTCTACAAGTGCGCTTTTCAATTTGAAAAGCGTGTCAAGCTGGCAAAGTTGTTGATTGGCGATATCCCCTTGGACCTTGACACCTCTTATGAGAAGGAGCTGAAGCTACATGGTTGAACTGTGTGTGTGCACCCCTTTTTGAACTACTTTCAAATAGGAACTTCTGATTATCAAATGTGGTTTGAGTCTGAGTTTGAGGTCAAAGGTGAGGGTTTGAGGCAATGCGCTGTCAGTCCGGTGGCGGTGGCAAAGATGTTGACATGATGTTGATTGTTCATCACATTATAATTAAGTCTATGATTTATGATTATGACAGAGATTACAGATTCTCATCCCAAATATGCCAAGCCCACCCCCGGCCACCCGACTTCTTTTTTTCATCCCTTTGCCATACACCTCCGTGTTTTCAGCCCACTGAACTGAACCAATAACCACCAGCCAGCACTGTTCAGGTCAGCTGGTTTCTTCCCTGAGGGCTTTGCTGAAATTGCAGTACCTTGCCATTTGCTCATGGATTTGAAGGTATATTTGCTTGAGGATGAGCACACCAGGGCAGGAATTGACGAGCAAGCCAAGAAAGTGCGGTTGATGTTGACAGGTTTTCGAACAATGACCAGTGCCTTGAAGAAGGGTTGTTCTGATATGACTTCGGCTCTCAACACCGTGAAGGCCGCGGCAGCTTTGCAGGACAAGCAGTCGCAGGATGGGACTGGGACCACCAAGCCGAAGGCCAAGGCCAAGGCCAAAACCAGAGCCGCCAAGCTTCCCACCTATGCCTCAACGAGCGACCCAAGTGTCATAAAGATCCACCGGCTTCTAGTGAAGCAAAATGAGATCGCTCGGGCGTCATCTTTTGAAGCCTTGAAAACTGCTCGAGATGGGGATGAGCCATTTATCCTGAGGCCTGGTTTTGATCATCAGCAATCTGTGTGTAACGGACAGGCATGCGCATGTTCAAATAATATCCTACAAGCAACAGACTTATAGTACTTATAGTCATACAGTACTACTGGTGCGGGCCAGCCAGGCGGAGGCGGCCAGCCGGAATTGAATCATACTATATAACTATACTATACATAACACACTAACACACTAATTATACAGGTTCAAGTGCACACTGTGCCACTGTGCGATGTCAATGTGAAGGTGTGACAATGAGAGTGACAGCAACACCACAAATCCATAAGTTTCCAATTTACCCCCTGAGGCGTGGCAAGAACATCTATAAGCTCGTTTGGAAAGATGACACTGTCCGTACGTTGGTGACAGCACAGGTGGACGACTTCAAGGCGAAGTGGCCAAAGTCAAACCAGAAGGTGCAGTGCAACTTGATTCCACCAGGACCACGAAAACCAAAAAAGGGGAGGTGTTCTTGGTATCTCTTTGTTTTCTCAATCGTGGGTCGCGACGGTGACGTCGAGGGTCCGGTCCTGGGGTGACAGTAACTTGAATTATTATCGATTTGACTTTTGGAACTAATTTTGGATTTGGGAAGGGGTTGACTATTGCCTGAACTTCGCAGGCAATGGAGTCAAATCAAAAGGCATCCAGGTGAACAAACAGTTAAACAATATTGAAGTTGCTGCCTTTGCTTGCTTTTGTTTTGTTCAGGAGTGCAGCACGAGGAGAATCCAGAACTTTCTACTGCGCAGCAAGATGTGTTAGCTTTGGTGCCTGGTGATTCTGACTGGCCATTTATCCCTGAAGAGGCGGTGTCAGGGCCTCACCTCACCATCCAGTGGAATCATTCACAGAAATCAGTGTCCAGCCTCTCATGGACTCAAATGCCTTCTAGTCTAGCTAGCTGCTGCTTTCCACATCCAAGTTCATCCAAGTTGGTTTCCCTTGTTCATGCTCTGAGAGGCTTTGGTTTCCAGCGCTGAGTCCTGAGGCTCATTAAAGGAGACAAAGACTCAAAGAAACGTGAGGACGTGCTGTATGATTTCTTCTCATCCTGCTTCTTGGCGGGGCAGCGGCGGGACTTCATTCACCACGGTGCTGAGTTGTCGGGCTTGGGCAGTGTCAAGGTCCAGCTGGAAGGAAGTCGCATTATTTGCATGGCATTGGCAACAGAGATCGCTAGCTATCTTCAGAGCCATGGTGAAAATACTGAGGACGAGGCTGGGGTGTTAGACTAATTACTTATTCTTAGTTGTTGCCACCTTCTTTGCATCTTCTTCACCAATGTTTCAATGTTACTAATTGCCCAAAGTGCTGTATTTGAAAGCTTCAAAACCCTCATCCCTGTAGATCACCATGGCCAAGTGCAGTTCTTGGTTGTTGCGCATCGAGAGTGGCTCCATTCCGAAGGTCACCGAGATGCCCTCATTATGTGCAGGATCGGTCAAGCCAGGAGATGTACTATATACACCACCAGGATACTTGATTGTGGATAAGGTGGTCAATGAAGATGCGGTCTCTGTGCGACTCAGCAGTTGGCGAAGACATATGTTTCTTGTTTGTTTCTATGATTTGATTAGGGTCATCCTGTTTGCTGGCAGCCCGGTTGGCGGTTTCTGTTGACATGTACAACTTTGTCAGGGAAGCACTAGTTGAGCTTTTGCTGTGCAGTTGAATGTCTGTTACAACTTTGGGAAGTTGAATCCCAGGAGAGTTCCGATACCAGTATTGCCAGCGACTTGTGTGGACGCCACACGCTTCCTTTGCCGATACCAAACAAAGAGCATCCACATGCATTTGGGTCCAGTCTTGGACTTTATGGAAGAGCACGCCAAGCTTCAAGACACCCTGGTCCAGGCTAAAGTTGAACCAGGTGACACCGACGCCGAGGCCAGCGCTGACGCGGAGGGAGGCGGGCAGCGCTATATATAGTAATATGAACTGAATTTATTTGTTGGTTTTTTTTGAATCATTTGAATCTGAATTTGAATGGAATGGATTTCTGAATATGTGTTAATGTGTTATGTGTGTGTGTGTCTCACTGTGCCACTGGAGTCTGAAGTCAGTGGAGTCGTTCTGGGATTCTGGGTGACCTGGGTGGGATGGATGGCTTGTGTCAGGGATCGAGCAGTTCGGGCTTTGAAAGTCAAGCCAAACCACATGTAAAATAAATAGTTTCAATGCTGAGCCCTTGGAGGTGCCAGGTGCCATTGCGATTTAACGGCCCCCTACTTTATTTGTTACATATTACATAGTTGGGTGTTTCATGGTGTTTCATTATTTCAAGATTCTTCGGACACTTGACTGTGACTTGGCTGACTTGGCCCTTACCCTTGGCATTGGCATTGGACGGTCGGCAGGCAGGCAGGATGAGGAGGAAGTAGGGGGTGTCAGTGAAGCACAACGGTCTCTGTTGATCCAGGAGGTAGGAGGATCAGGATTCGGATTAGGAGGACAAGGAGCGACACCGTCGCAGCCAACAAGACCCATCTGTAACTTGTAGCCCCTGCCGCCTCTACTTCTACTGCTACCTCTACTACTGGGACTGCCTCTGGCCTCTACTGGCCCCGATCGGTCACCGGACTGGACCAACTGGACTCACTGACTCACCGACCGGACCTAACCGTGCCTAACCGCCTAGCCTAGCCGAACCTTTAACCTTTAGCCTTAGTGCCTTAGCCTGGTAACCCTGGTAACCGGGTAGCCTGGTAACCTGATTCACCCGCTCCTTTTTTTTCTACCCACCACCACGACTACACACTGTCTCGCTGGACTCGCTGAACCCTGGCGATGACCGAGATGCGAGCCAACGCCTTCAAGACCATCAGACACGAGTTCTTGCACTTGTGTGGTTTTGTAATCTGGAAAAAGGATGAATGAGGATGATGAGGGGTACACAGGAGGATTAGGAGGATGAGGACGGCTTCGTGGTAGAGCATATGTAGTAGCACGTGCGTGGTAGAACCCTGTATACTAGGCTAACAGCGGCTAACTAACTTAGACTTAAACATGTAACATGCATGCGTGTTGCATTTTGAAGCTGAGCTTCCCGCTTGCATCCGCTTGCCAGCTTATCACGACCCCCTAATCTTTGCTTGAGACTGAGACTAAACAAACAAAGGAACAAAGCATGGTAGACCGTCTCTGAGACAACACAGAAGGTGTGAGATAATACCGGCCGAGACCAGTGGACTTGAGCTCAGACGTTTGGATGGTTTCAAGATGTGATGTCAGTGATTCAGTGATGTCAGATGTTTAAAGTAATATATATATATATATATATGTATATAGTGACTTTATATTATAACACTGATTCACTGATAGTATCTCACGTGACAACCCCATAGTTGAATCATGAAACAAGCTCTTAGAAAAAAGGGTAGGGGCCGGTAAGGGTGCTGAGATACAAAACAACCAAAAGGATATGACATGATGTTACTACGATATGATGTCCCCTTCTGTCTGACAGGGCAAGGGCGAGACTGTCAAGACCACGGCTAACCAGGAGGATGTGGATGGAGAAGCACTTGAATCTGAGGAGGAGGTTGGGGTCACTGGGGCCCGCTGCGCGCTGGGCCGGTCCAATGCAGGGTGAGATGGTGATACATGAATTACAGGAACAGGAAGGAAAACATATATCGTTTGAAACGTATGTTTTGAATATTTTGACAAAGGACCACAGACAGACAGAGACAGTGCTCAAGAGGGCCTTTGACGGTCAACGGTCCTTTGATACATTTTGTTGATTGGTTCAATTGTTTGTTGCTTGTAGGCAGGAGTCGAGAGGGGGAGTGCCTTTTCTAATTGCAGGAATCAAGGACCTTCAAAATCACTCCCTTAGCAAAAAGACAAACAATCCCTGAGAAGACTCTTGCTACAAGTACGAATGATTTTTGTTGGTCTCCTGATGATTTTCTAGTCCTAGCTTAGTTTTGTGCAGCCAAAGCACACCTCGCGTTTGGGAGGAGCCTGGTACCGAGGACGAGGACCTCAAAGAAATTGAGGCAGATAGCACTATAATACAACTGGACAACAATCACCAAGCAATCGCAACCATTGGATTTAGTGCACACCACAAACAGTTCTGGCGACTTGACCATTCCACTATGGAGGTGGAATTCACCGAGAAGGGATCTTCCCAATGGCTTCCAGGCATTGGGGCGCTGAACAAGTCAATACATTTGATGGATCACCCGTGGGAACCTGAAGGAACCATGGAACGACTCAAAAGGCACCAGCAAAGACAGGCCAAGGCGGCCAAGAGTGCAGCAGACGGCAAGGAAGGAGAAGCAACAGTCACACCACCTGACAAGGCAGCGGCAGGTCTCAAGGAAGGAGAAACACAAGTCAC